ATGATTGTTTCTTACCTCTAAAAGGAACATAACGTCTTCTTCGCCCTATTAACGAGCTGCGTGTTTTCCAACTGTCCCTTGATTCAACTACACATCATTATCATAGACGCTAAATTCATGAAGCAAAGAATTTGAGAAGCTGATGTACACTCAGCTGATCAAGAAATTTCCTGCCTTCTAACACTAAACGTTTCATCGTCGTGTTCACAGGAGCCTGGCCTTGAATCAATCCACAAGCAGTCGAATCCAGTCCACAGCCTCACATTAAATTTAAAATTAATTTTAATATTATACTCCCATTTTCTTCAAGGTCTCCCACCCAAGTGGTCTCTTCTCATAAGACAGGCCCGACAAAATGCTGAATGCTTCTGTATCATTTGGAAAATAATATTGCATTAAAATCCCAAAGGCATTCTTTACGCCACATCACGGGTGTGACGTAAGCAGGGCAATCCTGAGGAATAACAAATTCGAAGTTCAATGTCGTACCAGTGACTTGGAACAATGTTATGAACGACGAATAGACGTGGATATGCTTTGCTAAAGCGTAACGAAAGCCTAAAGATCAGTAATTACTTCAGTACAAAGAATTAAGATTTTTTTAATGGAGGAAAGAAGTCCTCAATAAGGTCTTGAGCGATCAGCTGTGTACAATCCAAACTTACACGGCCGACCGCATTCAGTGGCCGTGAAGGCTTCAAATCTTAGATGTTCCAAGATGTACGTTCTTTTGGGCGCTTTTCATTCAAGACGAATGATTCATGAAGCAGACGAACGATTCTTCTTTACAGAAAGTAACACTGAACAGAAATGTCGTCACCTTGATGATAAGATAACACAGATTGTACGGATTACATACGAACATCGACAGATTGCAATGTGTTGCAGAATAAATTAATGTTTCATATATGTGCTCTGGATGTATCGGAGTTTAAAACAACTTTCCTACTGTTTCTGTCGTAAATACCAACACCCCTTTTTATTATTTGCACTGTCGTTTGTAGCCCTGTTTTTAGCCGAGACGGGTTACACGGCACTTGTGTGCATGACTTAAGTACAATTGTCTCCCCCAAATGATCCCTGCCATAGGACCACCTATTTTCTTTTATCCAGAACCTGAATTGTCCCTGAACACGGAGCCCTATGACGTCTTCTAGCACAAATTTCTTAGATGCATATCGAGATACGGTCGTCCTGGTGTTGATACGGTAAAATTGTCCCAGCCCTATGCATAAGTCATCATGGTATGAAGATGGCGGTATAGGCTGAAAGCAGTCTTCAGTTTCAAGAAGAGGTCCTTCGGTTGTCTGCCTTAAACGTGCCTGACTCGAGAGTTGGTCTGATCGTGATGGTCGAAAGAACAATCCCTGGCCCTCCCAAGGATTAAACTCTAGTCGCGAAGTTGCCAATCATCTTTTACTATGAAATTAAATTAATAATAGGCTCTGAATCATTACTCAGTTCAGCCACAGCAGACCTCTCGACGTGAGATGGACATACCATCATAATCTTAACTTTCTAAACGGTTCGTAATCGAAAAGAGATTTCGGGTAACAAATATCAACTTTATGGAGAAAACTGTAAAAAACTGCATTTTTTAAGCTAAATCCTTCGGAACCCTACCTTACCGGAACGCTAACGGTGCGTGGTGAAACATTTACTCCATCAGTATTTCCTGAATTAGAACTGAACACAAACTCCATGAACTTACCTTTGCTGAAAAGATCCCACGAACAGTCAGTCCCACCATAGGTGAGAACCGAAGTTCCACTCCCGGGTCAATCACTAGTTCCCCAGTTTTCTCGATTATGAGGTCTTCCCGCACCAGATACGGACTGTGGATTTTGTTCAGTCTTTGTTGTCTGTTTGCTATCACTCCTCCAGCTAGTTCTGTAACTTGTTCATCTGGCAGTCTAGGTGTCATCATCATTGGCGTCGATTGTGGAAGGAACGTTAGCGTCTCGACGTCGTCGTCTATATCAGCCGCCACTCCAACAATCATCATAAGCACTGTCACACTAAAAAAACACACCCCTCTGGTCATCTTAGTTTCTTTCATGGGAATGGAAAATCTCCACATTCTTTTTCTCTTGAATAATTCCATTTCGTCCGCGTACGCACTCTATTTTACAATTTAAACAAAATAAATACAGCAATGTAAAACGCACTTTGTCCGGTGAAAACGCGGGCGTATTGCGATTGTAATGTTTTCCTAACCACCTACTGGCTTACTCATTTTGTCTCGACATCTCGTTTACCTTCACATCTCTGATCACCACACCGAATCACATTTCAAGCACTTCACTCGTTTATCACGCAACATGCAACAAAGCGATACTAAGCTACTACCCAACATACTTAACGTAAATATTTAAAAATTCAAATAATTAAAGCGTCAGAAAAGTTCGTTTGTCGACTGTAACTTGCGAATTACGATCGTCGTTTTTTCAACTTCGCTTACTTTTACCTTCGTGTGACCACTTCTTTCCTATGTACTCGCTTCTGATTGGGTGCGGCATATACCAGAATGGGACGTCAGGTTTTGAAAACAACTATTTCGCTGTCACGTGACTGAAAACGTCACGGTACGTCAGGTAAGGTATGCAGCAACCTCCTCCCCTCCTCCTTGCCATCGGCTATTGTCTGCCAAGTATTTAACGTTCCTGCCCGCTTATACCTGATGGAGCCACCATCCAAACAGGTAAGCAAATGACAATCGTTCTCTGCAGCTTACAAGACCGACTGCTCGTCGACACGAGACCTCGCTTCTCTTTAGCCTGTTCTTCTCCTCTTACACACGCGACTGGGTTAGGATGACTGGTACAGTCATTGCAGGAAGTAAGTGAAATCATATAAAGACCTTGGGGAACGAACTCCTACTGAACTACCCTTTGTTCGATTGTCTTTCATGGTCATTCTCCTCCCGACCTGAGCCAGCACTGCTGATTTCCTTGTTTCAGAAACCGGTTCTGGCTGCAGCCAAGTGAGGAAGTTTATATTTGGATTTTAAATACTTTTAGATATAAAACCCATTAAAACTTAAGCAAAAAGGTTGCGTTAAATCCGTTCACAAGAAACAGAACGACGATGAATACCAATCGTTCCCTCCTCCAAACACTCACAGTAATAGGGCGTTTATTTCAAAACGAAAAGCGATTGCTAGAAACTTCTGCTGTCCTGTGCATCATATTGTAACGTGAAAGTCTGTTAGTCATCAGCCAAGTCTTCTGACGTGTCGAAGATGTTACCTTTTATCTTTTGTTTCCATGCAGTTCGTAAAGACAGTTTTCTCTCGCATACACAAAGGAACAAAGTCCATCTAGATAATTTGCAGTGCGCCGACTGACAAAGATAAACGCAACTTGTCACTTCCCTACTCCCAGCATGAAAAGCATAACTCACCAAGTACTGCATCTAAAATTACGTATTCACACAACAGTACAATTGTGTCTGGCATCGTGTTGAATGCTGGTTGTTGTATGTGTGGATATAATTCGATGCACTATTGAACACCGTTTTTCTGTATGAATCGTATGTGAAATCTGGTTCTGCTAGAAAGTGTAAGAGAAAATTCCGTCGTAAATTTCCCAACAAAACATTACTGTGCCTCCAAGAACCTACCTGCTGAATTGCCGTATACTTACCGATGACAAACTAGACGAAATTGGGGTTAGGTTAGAACAGATAACACTGAAATCACTGACGCTTTGCACAACACAAGCTGCATAAACCGTATAAGGCGACGACTGTAGTTCGTGCTTTGAAACCACGCAAATCGGCTAGCAGTATTTCCAAAACTGGTTTTTGCAGTCAGTTCATGATTTTCCTCGCTTTCAACTACGGAACTCCAAAGTATATTACCGTGATCATAAAGGCCCGAGATTAGACCCGGTTCTGGGCTAGCTAAATCCATGTCCTCCTGCTCTCAGATAGATTTTAACATTATTTTTCCATCCATGCCGAAGTGTCGTAAGTTGTGGTCTCTTCCCTTAAGGTTTTCAGACGAAAATGCTACAGGCCTATGCATTTTTAATGTTCCCATATCCCCATGCATGCTAATCATCCCGTCTGTCCATCCTTGATTTTTTCGCTCAACGATATTAGGTGAAAGTGTCAAATTATTCAGTTTTCTCCATCCTCCCGTTACTACCATTTTCTTAAATCCTGTTATTCTTCTCAGAATTCTGTTCTCATATTGGGCGGGTTAGGAATTAGGTCTACGCTTGACTGGATTGATTACCGATTCCAGGGAGATATTACTAATGACTCCTCACACGCGGGGGTTGCCTTACTGCGAATTGCCGTTTACATCGAAAGAACATAATACGAGGAACGTATAACACGTATATGCGTGTTATGAGTGACTCATCATGACAAGCCTTTATTTGAAATCCCTGAAGTCAATGAAAATGCGCGCGCATCTCAGTGGGCCTGTGAGGCAGCTTCTGCCGTGGCCGCCATCAAAGTATTCATGCTCTTGAAGATAATAAATTTAAACCGCATATACGCGAATAGTGAAAGTGGGATTTAAGAAGTCACTTGTATATTATGACGGTTGCTTGTACCGGGTCTCCAATTTATGAGCTTACGGTCTTGCTTACATTGCGTTATCGGCCGCAGCTGTTGACGTAGGCGGGACTTCCAAGGAAGTCACTTTGAACATCTTTTGTCCCGCCTACGTCAACAGTAGCGGCCGATAACGCAATGTAAGCACGACCGTAAGCTCATAAATTGGAGACCCGGTATAATGGGAACACATGATACGGATTACAGACAAGCCCGATTTACGTATACTGATTCTTAGTTTACTTAACGACGCTGTATCAACAACAGAAGTTTTAAAGTATTGAATAAAATAATAAAATTGTTATAAACGGTTTAAAGATAAGGGTTTGGAAGGAGGTTGTGGTGGTATATTTAAATGTAGGGTAACTAATAATAGTAACAATAACATCTATCACGTTTTTGCTCTACACATAAAGAACTCATGAAAGCGGGTGGGAGGGGAAAACCTTATATTTAAACAAACATACAATAGCATCTTCCACTTAACTGGAAGATCAATTCCTGATTCAAGAGACATGAAACTGACAAGTTACAACTACTTTATTTATTTTCTCTTGTTTCATTTGTAATTCAACACTGCATGGATAACACTCGCTAAAGAGAGTTCAATAATGCCTATAAATAGCACAAATTATTTGCCACTGAGTAACATGGTAAGCAGAATACAAGTTTCCAGCTGAGCAGGGCTGTCTACGTGTGACCAGAATTGACATAACTATTCCACTTACCAGTTATCTGCACTGAAAGGCAAAATATCTTAATCTCTATAACTTACACACTTCACATCAGTATAAATAAAGAAAAACAAAATTATTCTTCATGCTTGTACGAGGATAAATCTGTGGAGCTCTACAGACTGTTTCACAAACCTGTAACGTCTGAATTACCTGCCACATACCATCAATGAAAGTCTTTGTGAGCTAGCTTGTAGAAATATGATTCCTTATTTTGTAACAGTACGTCTGGGCAATCAAACTCCAGTACTTCACCGTCTCCCATGACTAAAACTCTGGAAAAGAGAGTAAGAACTTTCATTGGACAATACTAATACTATTCCAGAACTTTCTTGAATGGCCAAAGGAAGCCCATAACATGTTATCATGTTTCTAAAATTAGAAATGAACATGAAATTTCTTAAACATAAAGTAAGAGTTCAGTCACTTACTCATGTACAGTCCCCAACACATGCTCACCCAATTTGACAGTATTTAAAGAACACACACAAAATTGGAAATCATTTGTTAACAGGATGAGTTCTGACATTATTTCAAAAAAATCAACCAAAAGGAAAAATAAGTTTAGCAAGATTTCTAAAATTATAGAATGACTCTGTTTTATAATATCCTTAAATGGTCTTAACAGGCCTAATACTGGAAAGGACGATGATGAACAATGATAGTTTTTCTTCAGACACTATAGAGTTCCTTGAAATTTATAACTCAATGTGCAGCAGATAAAACTTATCTCTATGTTTAGGATGATGCCATGAAATAACAAGTGGAGAAAATCCCTCCATATTCTTAAAATGACATGGATAGAGGTGAGTGTGCCAAACTCATAAACTAACTAACTAGGTGGCTTACCAAACCCGAAGGTTCATCACCGAATTAACCAAAGCCCTCCACCAGATCCTGTCCTGGGCCAACAAAATCCAGTCTCCTTCAACTCCTATCTCCCATAGATCCCGCCTGACATTATCCTCCCATCTACGTCTAGGTCTCCCCAGCGGTCTCTTCCCCTCAGGCTTTCCAACCAATACCGGATGCACACCTTAGACCATGTTTCGCACCCATACAAAACAACAGGCAAGATTATTGTTTTGTATACTTTAATTTTCAGGTTCTTAGAAATCAGACGGGAAGACAAAATATTTTGGACTGAGAAGTAGCAAGCATTTCCGGCATTTAGTCTCCTCCTAACTTCCTCACAAGTATCATTTTGATTTGTTATTGTTGTTCCCAAATATTTGAACTTTGTAACCCTTTCAAAGGATTTATTAGCTACCCTAAGATAATTTTGCCCGCCTGTCTTCTGATGACGAGATACTAACATGTACTTAGTTTTTTCTGAATTTACTTCCAGCCCCACTTGTCTACCAGCCTCTAGTAAAACTTCTGCGTTCCTCTTTATTGTATTTATATCGTCCCCCAATAAATTAACATCATCAGCATATGCCAATAGCTGATGTGTCCCGTTCAATTGCAAACCCTCCTGCCTACCTTGGACCTTCCTGATGGCGTATTCTAGGGCAAAGTTAAAGAGCAAGGGAGACAAAGCATTCCTTGTTTTAGACCGTTCTTGATGAGGAATGTCTCAGATACATATTTACCTACTCGAATTTTGCTACAGGTTTCATTTAAGCACATTTTTATTAGACTCACTATCTTCTTTGGTATACCAAATTCAATAAGAATATTATATAACACTTCTCTCTTCACCGAGTCATAGGCTTTTTTTAAATCTATAAATAATTGATGTACAGTCCCACCGAACTCCCATTTTTTCTCTAGTATCTGACGAATGCAAAAGATCTGATCATTCGTTGATCTGTTTCGTCTGAACCCACACTGATGATCCCCAATAATTTCATTCCTTGCCAAAAGAATGTTTGATAGAATTTTGTATGAAGTTGATAGCAGAGAAATTCCTCCTTTAATCACCAAACTCAGTCTTGTCCCCCTTCTTATGAACAGGAATAATTATGGATTCTTTCCATTGTTGTGGCATCTCTTCCTTATCCCAAATTAACTGAATAAGCTTATGGATCCTCATATGCAACCTTTGCCACCTGCTTTAATTAATTCTGCTGGAATCTGATCAATACCTGGAGATTTATAACTTTTCAACTTCCCAATGTGCCAAACTCATGGCACTGTTATTTATAAAAAGACAGTCTTCAGTATAAATGAATAGACTGATGGTTAGTTGCAGTCTTGGATGTGGTGGTGAAGACAAGAATCACAATGCCCATGGAAAATGCTAATATCTTTCGTAGACTATCACTTTATACTGAGCTACAATATTTAATGTGTAATATGCATCAAAAGTGAACTATTTTTAGATCAAAACACATATTACACTTTCTGAGATTTGAGGTTCTCATATCCCAGAAGAACAAAATTTACATGTCTAATACTTGTCACAAAATTAATTGTATGTATTAATGATTATAATGTTTATTTCATTATCTCATGATACTTTTTCTGTCTTAAAATGTGTGAATGTGCCACAGCTCAGGTAGTTAAACAATTTCATCCTCCCCATAAAGGTTGGTGATATATGACTTGAAGCTTTCGTCGTCATCAGGGCTCAGAACCCTGATGATAGAGACAGAGATGGTCCCTGAAACTCGGTTTCATCGTTTAACCATCTGAAGCAGCAGATCACCTGAGAAAATTTTATTGAGTTTCATCCTACTATACAGGCTTAGCCTCAAACTCAGAGTACTCCATGTCAGATTTGTGTCACATAAAGTGGTATTAGAACAGACTTCTCCCCAAGTACTTCAGTTTTCTCCTGTCCATCAGCATTCTCTAATGTCCCATCTTACCAACCATCCATCCGCAATGAACTGGTACAATTGGTCACGTAAGGCTGGAGTGTCAAGAGGGACCCTCTTATTACACACATACATAAAAGCCCCTGATATGTATAACCAACCAGGACATTAACACAACCTCAACCCTCAAATGGGTGTTTGCCGCCAATCTGGAACTTGCCTGGACTCAGAAGAAAAAATAACTAAATTGCATAATAAGAAGTATAATTCAGGGTCAGCTTGTATGATTAAGAATCTAAATCCTACTTTCAATATGCTCTATTCACATGCATTTTAATGCACACAATTCTCCAAGAATGTAACCACCATGTAAATGAAGGGCTGACTGCATTTACTTCATACCTGTCTGAATCCATGACTGTGCACACTCTGTGAGCAATGGTTATCACAGTGCTCTTCTGAAATGATGTTCGCAATGTGCGCTGAATATGTCGGTCTGTTTCTGCATCTACATTTGCTGTTGCTTCATCAATACACAAGATCTGAGAAAAAGTATGAAAAATTCAAAGTCAAAACTTAACTCTATGAAACAGAATCATTGAAAAGCTGGCAGTCATCCAGCCAGCTAGCCAATAAATACTAATGGAAACCAAAGGTTCCTTTTCACATTCACCAAACACTACTACTGGACCCTATCCTAAACAATATGAACCTTACTGCTTTAAGGTTCATTTTAATACTATTCTACCATCTATGTCTATTACTTCCAAGCAGTCTCTTTCCTTTACTTTCTTCAAGTCTCACTTCTCGGTCGAAATATAATCTCTCTATTTTTATATTTGTATATGGAAAATAAAATACCAACAGACTAATTCTGAACTTATTTAGTAATCTTGTATCAACTATTCACATTCACTAACCTCACTTTCTTTTTTGTTTCGTCCAGTTTGAAATTTTCACACCCTGAGATATTAGCAAAAAGATTTCAAAGCTGTACTAGCAGCTTAGAATTCAATTCACAAGTGTTAAAAAACTCTCTTAAGGGAAGTGTACTGTGAATGTCCATGACACAAAATGCAGTCAAGAAAACTCATTTGAGAAAAACTGAAAAGGAGAATATTTGGCTCTAAATAAAAAGTAATAGGATAATGGAGAGTTACATAATAAGATGCTTCATAACTTATGCTCTTCACCAAATAATACTGAAATAATCAAATCAAAGATAACACGGGTAGAAATGCAGCTGGTATGGTGGAGATGAGAAACATACACAACATTTGTCATAAAACCTGATGGCAAGAGATTACTTACGAAACTTAGGCACAGATGGGATGATGATACTTAAGCAGATCAAACGAACAGATGTAAGGATGAAAACTAAAATAATCTGGCCAAGGATATGTGTCCAGTAACATTACCTTTAAACACTGTACTTATCATTCAGCTTCTATAAGAGACAAGCAATTTCCTGAACAGCTAAGTGATTATCAGGCTTCAAACAAAGACTCTGCTCTATGGTGTTTGTTATCCAAGAATGAACAATTATATCTCAAAATTACATAATGTGAACCCAATTTTACTATAAATTCAGAAGAATGTCCCTTTGGAGCAAAGAAATTCAATGTGAAATTTAATAAAAGTGTACTTAATTTTAAACAACAACAAAATTATTATCAATCCACATTTATCATTTCATGCAAGAATATTAATAATACAAAAACATACTGTAACAAAATAACTTACCAGACCCATGTCTGAGTAAATACAACTTAATTTGATAGGATGGAGTTATTACTTACTGGGGGAAGGTTCATCCTGTGAGTCTTCTTTCCTTTAGGCTTTGACTTATATAGTATTTAAAGGCAATGTTTCAAATACAGAGGTTATTTAGCTTCAAATGAGGGAGAGTGATTAATACAGAAAACTTGAGAGGATGGAGGAGGAAGTAATTCTGGCTTCTTTTTCAAGGTATATCCTGGCATTTGTCTAGAAACAGTGAGGAAAATAATAATAAAGACTCACAAGGGAATGGTTAGGTTGGTCATGCCAAAACCTCACCTGAAATTTTGCTCATCTACAGAGCCCATCTAGTAATGATTTTACACAAAATTTCAGCTGCTGATGTGCTGTGCAAGGGTGCGAAAAAATTGCTCAAAGTTGGTGTGTATATTTAAAATTCGCTCCGCCACGCATGCGCGTGACAGCAGCGCGCCATTCACCGGTACATTGCAGTGGAGGGCATGGGCCAGGCGCTGAGAGGGCAGTGAAAGATTAGTCTCTGGGGAGCTAGAAGCGTAACTATTGTTGTTTGCACATAGTAGAGGAGGTGTTTTAGTGACATTGTGATTACCTGATCTTTCAATGCAATGTGGAAGGCTGTCGACGTTTTGCGACTTGCAATGCAGGTCTATGAAGGACACAATATTACAGCCAAACTGAATATTTGCTTCAAACATTCCATTGATGCTTCACATTTCTGTCACAATTATAGTGCATAACTTTGTATATTATTTTTTTGTACTCATTCTGTGAGCTCTGCTTGATTCCTAATATAAAATATACTGGAGAAATACCCGTCAAAAGTAGCAACAACAATAATCTTTTGAAACCCATTCCCATTCATTGCACATTACACCCCAGACTCAATGAAATTTTATAAAGTTAATTCCATTAATTTTCCCTTCCCTGTCGCAAAAAGAAAATCC